TTTTTTAAGGAAAAAAAAAAAGACAAATATATTCAAGTGCGAGAGTGTAATTTCCGGCCATCTAGAGATGCCCTAATCATAAATTTTCTTACCTCAGCCCCAACCATGGTGGGGCTGAGGTGGGTGGTTCCTCTGTCTGTGAAAGTCCCTCCCTGGTTCACCTCTCTTTCGAATTCCTGGATCTGCCACTGTTGATTTATTATATAATTATTTTCGCTTATTTATAATGCGTCTATTGCGATTTTCACCTTATCCTCTCAAACAGTCCTAAGAACGTTCAGAGTGCGCTACTTCACAAGGGGATTTGACCCCGCCGGGGTCATACGTAATTCGCATAACGGCTCCCCCCCTTTCAAAATCCTGGCTACGTCCCTGATAAAGCTGATGATGAATTATAGAATATTATGTAAATGGTGATTACACTAGGAATTATTAAATGATTATATAATGATAACATATGACAATGGTGCATGGTACAATATTAGAGTACGATAGTGATAGGGATGATGATGATGAATTAGATTATTATTTCTAACTACTTTTGCAGTATTTTCGTTAGAAACTGCTTCAAGCGTCGTAAGTCACAATAATAATAATAATAATAATAAGAATAATAATAGTAACAACAATAATAATAATAATAATAATAATAATACTAATTGCTATACGTGGGTGACAGTAGTAAAAAACGCTATTAAGGGGACACAATTCTGTGAAACGACAGGCAATATATCTTCACTACAGCCAATCTCTATTAAGGGGACGCCCTTGTTAAAGGAGAAGGGGACACTTTCTGAGTGCGCCAACTGTCAAATAACCCCTATTAAGGGACCTCAAGGTGCCCAGAATTTGCACTCTCATACTTTTAAAATCTTACTGGTACTATATTTTTAAGGATAAACAATTATTTTTGTTATACAATTTAAGGGGTGTGATCACACCGTCTATACCCCTCTGCATCCGCCACTGACATCAGCACCTATTAGATATTAGTATTCATGCTACATCCACCTAATAGAAAGCTGTGGTTGTTATTTTCAGGACATTTCACATATATATTACACACATATTAATCACATTATAATATTTCAAACCATATGAAACTTTGATTTAATGGAAAGCTCAATATTTAAAAAAAAAAAGAATATTTGTTCATTATTGTTTCATAATGAAGCAATATTGGGAACATATCTATATTTAACTATTGTTTTAATTACATTTCTGCTGATTCAAATTATTGCTAAAAATTAGATATTTTACTGTAAATGATTCTATGTTAATAAAGTAGAACCCCTCATTAGGGACACTCCTTCAGGGGACACCCCTATTAAGGGGACACAATTCTGTGAAACGACAGGCAATATATCTTCACTACAGCCAATCTCTATTAAGGGGACGCCCCTGTTAAAGGAGAAGGGGACACTTTCTGAGTGCGCCAACTGTCAAATAACCCCTATTAAGGGACCTCAAGGTGCCCAGAATTTGCACTCTCATACTTTTAAAATCTTACTGGTACTATATTTTTAAGGATAAACAATTATTTTTGTTATATAATTTAAGGGGTGTGATCACACCGTCTACACCCCTCTGCATCCGCCACTGACATCAGCACCTATTACATATTAGTATTCATGCTACATCCACCTAATAGAAAGCTGTGGTTGTTATTTTCAGGACATTTCACATATATATTACACACATATTAATCACATTATAATATTTCAAACCATATGAAACTTTGATTTAATGGAAAGCTCAATATTAAAAAAAAAAAAGAATATTTGTTCATTATTGTTTCATAATGAAGCAATATTGGGAACATATCTATATTTAACTATTGTTTTAATTACATTCTGCTGATTCAAATTATTGCTAAAAATTAGATATTTTACTGTAAATGATTCTATGTTAATAAAAATAAAATTATAAAGAATGTATGTCATAGTTGTAGCTATTCAGGGGACAGCCCTATTAAGGGGACAAATATTTAGGTCCTGAAGGTGTCCTCTTAGGGGTTCAACTGTATACTGTACATTTGACAGAGATTTAGGCCTATAAATGTAATCGAATAAGCAGTTATCATCTGTTAGTAGCTTAGGCAATTGAATCACATACATCATTTGATTAGAGCGATATATTTTTTTCTTTTGTGCAAGTCACCCATCCTTGTTGTCATTCCTCTTTCATTCATATTTTTCATCTAATCTAGATTACATTTCAAATAAAATAAAAGTAACTAATATATACATGTGATACTTTTATCGAAGTTAAAGCTTTTTTTATTTTCAAAATATGTTTGAAAATGATATGCTGTTGGTGAATGAAGGGATTTTCTAAAAAATACTATAATATGAATATAGCATTATTTGAAATACGTTTTTTAATACACGCATAATAAATTAACACAATACAACTCCTATACAACCTGAATGAGAAATTTATTATAACTTTTTCTTTTACTCCTGGGATGACTGTACTATACATATTCTCAAATATGTATTTAATCATACAACAAAACGCTGAAGCATCCACAAAAAGTAAAACTAAAAATGTTTTGCGATAACATTTGCGATAACATCATTTGAATAGGGTGGTTTCTCATAATGGGTTAGAAACAAACTAGTCTTTCCTTTGCTGTCATTGCCTAATTTCACTGGTAATACAACAAAAACACCTTAATTAAGTATTTAATTATAGACCCGATTCCATCAAAGCCTATCACCGCTGATCAATTGTAGCCCTGCTCAAAACAACCATCGGACTAGATGACAAAGTTCCTCAATCCCACAATATTTAACTATACATGTCAATGCAATAGACAATAGTTGACTATACATTCTTTTATTCACACCTGCAAACAAGGAGGTTAATTCCAGTAAAACATATAAAAAACAATTTTTACTGAAGTCATGATGAAACAGTCAAAAGATTATGGTACCACAACAATTTCATCTTTTATTACTACGCTGTCAAGAATGTCTAAATAACATTTTAAAAAATACCAATAAATATTGCACACAATGAAAAGGTTATATAAAGAAATGCAAACAGTAAACAATTTAATCAGTGATCTAAATTGCATACTATTATAACAACATTTCTTAAAGACTATAAAGATTTAAGATGACTTTATAAATAATTGAATAATTATGATTTATATACATAATAAATA